CGCCTTCCCCGGGGGCGGCGGGCCCGGCTGCGCCTCCGCCGCTGGAGGGGGCCGCGGGCCCGCCGAGCTCCGAGCTCCCCGCTCCCCGCTCCCTGCTCCCCGCCGGGCCGCGGCACTCGGCGCCGGGAGATGCCGGGCAATTGCACCGGGTAAGGGACCAGCCACCGTAACCACTGCTGGGGGGTGGCATGTCCCCAGCCCTGCAGAAATTAACGAGGGGCCCTGGGAAATATGCAAGAGCTGGTCACCAGCAACCTTATTCTCTGCTTCTCCTTGTTCAAGCAGCTTGACAGCATCTCAAATCACACAGGGGAGCCTTGCTTATTCCTATAAATTTCCGCCCCTGTTCTAACTGTCAGTATCTTACAGCAAGGGCCAGCCTGCTGCTTGTTTTCCCACCAGTGCCTAGCCCCTCCCAAGGCTCATATTTAATCTCTGATCTGCAAGCGAGAAATGCAGGCAGGGAGAGCCAGCCCCTGATGGCTGCGGTGAGATGTAATCGCAGGCAGGAGGGGGGTTCAGCCCTGTGGGGCTCCGAAACTTCTTGTTGGTGTCACGTCCAGCCCTGCTGATGCCTGCTGGGCTGCAGCTCGCAGGAATGATCAGCCCCCAGCTTGTAGCTTTTTTTCTGCTTGTTAGTAGAGAGGATTTTTCACCTTCCCCCGCTATTGATTTTAAAGGACTTTTCCTCCCTGCAAAGCATGTGTCTTGTTTAGAAGACCATTTAATTCACTCTTTAATCAAAGAGGGAAGACACCAGAGTATTGGTGCCTGACATCTATGGCTGTATAGGAAACCGAGCCACGCTTGGGGGATGTCTGCATCGATGCGGCTAATCACCACAATGCTACTTGGTAAACCAGCTACGCAGGGGAAATGCTAGCCAGGATGCAGATGGGCTTGGAGGAGCATTACCCTGGTCATTGACCTGTTGGGTGGATCCCATCTCCTTCTTGTGCCTCGGTTTCCCTACTGACTTTTTTTTTTTTTTCTCTATTTAAATTATAAGTGCTCACCCTGCCTGGCTATCCGGAGGTTTGTGTATATACAGAGGAGGGGCCTCGGTCTTTGCAGGCTTTACTGGTGCTGTCCTAATAATGATAATGGGTGTACAGTGGTTAGAAACCAGAACAGGTCAAATTGGTTAAAGCACACAAATCTCAGGAGCTTGTCCTGAGATTAGCTGCATTAACAGCATCACCAGACCTGACAGACGCCACTGTGCATCCACTGACGCTTGTAGGAAGCTGGTTTCTAGAGAGTAACTGAGAACTTAAGGATAAAAAAAAAAGTTCTAAAATCCTGGACTATTATCCCCAAAGCTCCTCTTAAACAGGGAGAGTAGTGACAGGTTTATTGACTGTCCTCCAGTCATAGTTCTGGCAAACCCTGCTTTTTGGTGATCCATGGTCCCTCATGCAGTCAGTCCTGAACGTAAACATCCTGCAGCTCTCACGGCCCCTGAAGGCCATGTCGCTATTGAAGGGGAGGAGAAGGAAGGAAAACTGCAGTTTTGCTAGTTCTAAGCTTTTTTTTTTTTTCTCTATTTAAATTATAAGTGCTCACCCTGCCTGGCTATCCGGAGGTTTGTGTATATACAGAGGAGGGGCCTCGGTCTTTGCAGGCTTTACTGGTGCTGTCCTAATAATGATAATGGGTGTACAGTGGTTAGAAACCAGAACAGGTCAAATTGGTTAAAGCACACAAATCTCAGGAGCTTGTCCTGAGATTAGCTGCATTAACAGCATCACCAGACCTGACAGACGCCACTGTGCATCCACTGACGCTTGTAGGAAGCTGGTTTCTAGAGAGTAACTGAGAACTTAAGGATAAAAAAAAAAGTTCTAAAATCCTGGACTATTATCCCCAAAGCTCCTCTTAAACAGGGAGAGTAGTGACAGGTTTATTGACTGTCCTCCAGTCATAGTTCTGGCAAACCCTGCTTTTTGGTGATCCATGGTCCCTCATGCAGTCAGTCCTGAACGTAAACATCCTGCAGCTCTCACGGCCCCTGAAGGCCATGTCGCTATTGAAGGGGAGGAGAAGGAAGGAAAACTGCAGTTTTGCTAGTACTGCTTGTACAAAGGAAAGACTCTGGCTCTGGTGGGGTTTAAGGCACTGTGTGCTGTTACCTGGTCAGATGGAGAGAGGGGAGGAAAAAAAAGCAGGGAGCAACATGCCAACCAGAATATCCTGGCTGAAATTCTTACACCTGAACTTTCCAGCCTAAAAAACACTTGTGTATAGCAAAATTTGTGTTCAGGATGCAGCAGCTGTTCCAAGCACCAGTTCCAAACAATTTCTGTGGTAAAAAAGCCTTAGTGAATGCCCAATATAACCCAGTTTTTCACCAAGAGTGATGTGCCAGTAGGGCCAGCACACAGCACAGGCTGTTTGCTTTACTGTTCCCAGGTGTATCATTGTAGGCAAGTGTGTAGAGGGTCCTTAATAACACTGCAGCACACTTCAGCATCTTGCTTTCGCAATGAATGTCTCCTGTGTTCTCCCTCGTGGTGCAGCACTCCTGAGCGAGGCATCTGTGTGCCGCTGGTCCCTGGGGAGCAGGTGCGGGCAGAGCCGATGTGCTCAGTTGGAGTCGAGGACGGATTCCTCCTTCAGACTGAGATCACTGGCTCATGTTTGCTATGTGGAAAGGCAAAAACATCATGTGCTTTTTGACGAACTGGGTCAGGGAGGGAGGGATGCAACCTGATGGAAGCAATCTGAAATTAGCTCCCCCCTTCCCCTGCCCCTAGGCTGTGAAGTCTGGGAGGGAGCTGGCCCTTTGCAATGGCCACAGCAGCACCAAAAAACAGCTGGAGCTGAGCAGGGCACAGGTCTGCTCCTTCCCTGGTAGTGCAGGGGTTTGGCAGAGCTACCAAACACAGTCTGAGATAAAGGATCCCTCCCTCGTCCGAAGTGGACCCCCTTAACCAAAGGGGAAGCATCAGAAAGGTGAATTAAAAGATACACTAGCCAACAGACAAGATGCTGTTTCTGCGGATTCTGCCAAGTCTCTTGAAGACAAATTGTTCCTTGCAGCAAGGATGGAAACAAGGTCATTCATAAAAGAGTAATTGATGTCTGGCCGGTGACAGCCCTCCGCGGGGCTGGTGTGGCTGCCTCCTGCAAAGGGAGCAGGCAGCAGCCTGTGGCTGGCTCCGAGGAGCTCCAAGGGTCTAGGAGATGGTGAACCAGCCTCAACCCTTCCACATTTTGTATGCGAACTACGCATTGCCTTTTTCTTTTTTCCTCCAAATGTCTTCTAATGTAATTAGAAAGTTGCTCTTCCAAAAGCCTTTTGGCTGGGAAGGGAAAAAGCAGTCTATAATTCATTTATAAGATGGTCTCGGAGCCGTGTAATTGCTCTGCACCGGCTGGATGGAGGGGGAGCTTCCCGAGGGGCTGCATCTCGGTATTCCCAGAGAAGCTAGACAGAAATAGAGGGAGAGCTGATGCTGGAGGTGAAGGACTGAGATGTGGGGTGGAGCTGAGGAAGAGAAGATAAGAAAGAGGATTTTAATCTGCTGGGGTTTCTGGCCCCAGAGAGATGTCATAAGTGCTGAAGCTGGTGGAGGAAGGAAAGAAGAGCACGGGGGGAGAAATCTGAGTGGTGCTACTGGCACGCTGTTGTTCTCACTCTCCAGGTTCATGGTGGGTCCTCTCAATTAAACCCTTACGGGAAAGATGTGCAGAAGAGCTTTCACATTGCTATCAGTGCTAGTTTTTTCATCTGCCATAATTTTCTCTTTTTTTCTTGTCTTTGAGCTTGATTTTGTCCTAGTGAGGAGCAACCTGAAATGCCTGTGTAACCTCACCTCCTCCCCCCTCCAATTTGTGCTGTACCTGGAAGGGTTGGACCGCCCACCCCAGCTGGGTTTGGGCTTGGTCCTGCCATGCTTTGGTCCATGACATCTTGCCCTGAGTGCTCTTCCCCATCTTCGCTACTTGTATCCCCCTTGTCACATCAGCATTTGATCAGACTTTCCTCTCCTTTAGGGTCCCATTTCTCCCGTTATCCCATTTCAGCTCCTGGCAAGGCAGCAAGTGATCTCACCACATATAGGGCCAGGCAGCTGCCAAAAAAATAAAAGGAGCAATCAGACATACATAATTTAAGGGTTTTGGTAAAAGCCATACCAGGGTTTTCCCCAGCGTCTGATGCAGAGCCTGAAACAAGGCAGCCCCGGAATAGCGGGGAAATGCCAACAGCAGTCTTGTTCCTGGAGCAAAGCCCCCGGGCAGGGCATCGTCCTGCCACGAGCAGAGAAACACAGCAGGCAGTAGATGGACAAGAACCAGCAAAAGGCAGTTTATTGGCATGTTCATTTCCAGGATTTAAAGTAACACATTTTCCTTTCTTGCTGCATATGGAGGAGTTTGGGGCTTTTTTTTTAAAAACCATAGTTTTTAAGCAAAAGTTTTTTGGTGAAGCAGAATTGGTAGCAGCAATGCTCTTCTTCCTCTCCTTAAGCTTGAATTTGGTAAGCTTTCATGAAAGATTTAATCTTTTTTAAGTGATTTCAGCTGTATCATACTATTAAAACACTCATAGAAAAAATTAGAAACCAAAATAAGCTGCAGTCAGTTGGGTAATTCTCCCCTGCTACATGACTTTCTGTTGGAAGAGGGACAGTTTCACAGAAAAACTTGTAAGGGCAATAATTTTCTACTGGTGCTTATTCATCATCTTTTGCCATTCCAAGACCAAGCTGTGGATTCATATTTGATGAGCCCATTTGGCCCTCAAACACTTTACAGGCACTTTTATTCTTCCTTTTTTTAATTATTTTTTTTAATGTGAACAAGATCCTTCGGTCCAGCTGTCACAACAGGCAAGCGCTGTTTACATCGGGGTTGTTTTTTTTTAATCACATTTGTTCAAATAAAGAGACAACGCATCTAACTTCCAGCTCTGCAAGCCTAGGGAAGAAGACAAAAGTCAAGCCGCCTCCTGCATCGTTGCCGTTATTGTTTAGACACTTCAGAGTCAGTTGCTGGCCTTGATTATATTTCTGTCATCCTTTTATCTAACTAGGATGGTGCTGATTTAAAGAAGGTGGCTTGGCCGTGCAGCTGCCGCCTTGCTAACAGGGTAAAGTTCAACTCCTTTTCCAGAGCAGCCTGCTCTCCATCCCGGTTACTCGCTTCTTTATGGACTATTCGTGTGGGTTTTCCCCTCTTTGAAACCGATAGCTGAGTTTTAAACGCGGGGGATTGAATCCCATGAGTGAGGAGGTGCTAGTCCAGGGCACGGTCCTGCTGCAGAAGAGGAGCATACTATAAATATAGTGTTTTTCTCTCCTTTTTTTTTTTTCCCCAAAGAGAATTTGGGCAGAATAGGTTAACCGCTCCGCAGGAAGCCGGATGCTTTTTTGGTCAACGCCTTCAAATGGCCACAGTGTAATTAGAGGGCTCCTGACAGAGAATCACATTATTATCCATCTAATTTCTTTTAAATAACCAGCATTATGAGGGATATTAAAAGAAGGGGTTGTTTAGCTCTAACTTTAACTAAACTTACTCAAATGAGCATATTAAATGTGTCCCAATGGTGTTTTCAAATGGCTGTTTTCCTCCCCATACTGTAACTGATGGTATTTTTCCTCTTTATCCTCAGGGATTTTTCTGTTTTGCTCTGGCCTTCTGCGGATTAATCCCAGCTGCCTGCTGGAGATACACGCACAGCACGGAGGTAAGCGTTGGCTGCAAGGAAATACCACCAGCATCTTGTCAGATGGAGATTTTTTTGTAGCAATGATTTCTCCCATAAAAGGGACATCTGGTGGTAATTAAGCTGTCCATGCCGAGGTCTGTCAGATGCATGCTCTGTCGCATCCGTCCTTTGCGGGCCACCTTCATCAGCTGCCTCTCTGATGGGGTTGTCTGAAGGGAGAAGCCACGGAAACACTCATGCAGGGCAAATGCTTTGTCCTGAAGGCAACACAAAATGCAAGTCTCATTTTAAATAGCTTTGGGATTTTTTTGCAGGGGATGTTTTGTTTGTTTTGTTTTGTTTTGTTTTGTTTTAATTGAGATGCTTGACTTTTGAAAAGTCATTTCCAGCCAGGTCTAATTCCTGCTAACATCAGTTGGGACCCTCTATTCAAAGGCGGTGGCAGGTTGTGACTGTTCAGGTTGTCTCTGGCAATGGCCAGGAGAAACACCCAGGAGGTGTGTTTATTAACCGGCAGCAGTGGTACAGCAAAAACACTGGTGTGAAAAATGGTGGTTTGGTTCGCTGTCACGCTGGACCAGAAAGAGAAGATTGTATGAGGTTGAATTTGCCAGAAAGTTGGGGTTTGAATTGTTAACCCAGAGCTTGCTGGTGGTGTGGTAGATGGTGTTGGAGGTACAAAGTGCTGGAGAAATCGAGTCAAGGCATGCAGAGTTGCTAAGGGACAGCCCCGCGCATCGCAGTGGGTACCCTTACCCCGGGGCAGCAGACTGCTGGGGAAAGCAGAAATTGAACTTAGCATTTAGCAGCCTAAAGAAGTTTAGACTTTTTTTTTAACCCTTTCCTAATTTGCTTTTTGTATATTTATTCCTCTTCTCATTCAGAGGAATTTGTTGCTGCTTGGTCTTAATTCCCCTTCCTGCATCCCCGCACTGAAAATAAAAAACATTTTAAGAGACTTAGGCATGCAAAAAAATCATGACTTCTTTTTTTTGAAAGCAGAACACAGATATTTTAGGCAAGTATCCAAATTATCTAACAGTAATTCAGATAAGCGTTCGGGACTTTGCTAGACGTTTCATGCAGCGGGTCAGTCCTCGTCTCCATTTTGCTCCTCCCCCAGCCCCAGGCACGTGCCGCAACTTGGAATGCTCTGGCCAGTGATGAGGATATGGGTGATGTGAAACATCATCCCGATGGATTAGGGTCACGTTGATGCTGCCAGCTCATCTCTTTCGGGTTACAGACGTTGTGGGGGATTGAGGACCAGTGTGTCAGGAAAAGAGCATGAGAAGGGATTTCGTTCTGTGCTGGAGGAGCACTCCATCAAAACCCCAGAGACTCGATCCATGCTAGGACTGCAGCAATTGCACTTCTCGGGGACAAGAAGCCCTGTCCCATAACAGTTCGGTGTCCTGTGCAAAACCTAAAATCCAGTCCTTTTGGAAGCAGAAGTTTAAAGGGCAAAGTCAAGGTTAAGGTGAGGGGTAAGGCGCTGCTTCTCTAGAAAGTTTGTCCAGAGCTAACCAGTCGCCACAGTAGTTGAAAATTCTTTGAAATATGCAGATGGCTACGCTGGATCAGATCAAAGGTACCCACTCTCAGACAGGCACACCCATTGTTGGCCAAGGTAGGAGCATAAAAACCCAGTGAGCTCAAAGCAGTGCTTTTTCAGATGCCAACAGCTTGTGGCTCAGGTGCCTGCTGGTGGCACCTGCTGGTCCACTTCAATGCTCTCAGTGGATTTTTCCTCCATGAATTTGTCCAGCTGCTTTGGAAACATTAGGGTGAGTGCTGACGGCACAGCAGCATCTTTTATCTCTACACTTATCTGGCTGAAGCAGATTCAATCAATGACATTGATTGAGACATCTATGAAAAAGAGTCTTTCCACAGCCTCTGCAAATATTTTCCCTGGTTTCAGGCAAAACTATCAAAATTTCTTATTTTCACACTAACAATTTAATATGGAAATAATTTTGTTTTCATGATCAACATAGAAGGGAGGCCTTGAGCACAGTTTCCTCCTTCTTCTGCAGAAGCTTGTAATGAGGGATTGAAACAAAAGCTGTGTTAGTAAAGGAGAAATGGCACCAGAAAGTGTGTCTGGTTGGTCTTGTGAAATTGCGTTATCCAAATAGACGATTTAGTTATACTTTTAAATCCACAAACATGGAGCAGGGTGTAAAAATGCTGCAAGAAAAAGTTGTATATTGGGTTAACACAGGGATGTGCCATTCAGAAAAATATTTTGCTGAAAATATTTAAAGGAGAATTACTTTCTCTGTATATCTCTTAATTACTACATCTGTTTTTACTTCAAATTATTGTCCTGTTTTTTTGCTTTGAGTGCCCTGCCCATAAATGCACCCATGTGTTATGATTAGCTTTAGTAGTTGGTTGGGTTTCTTTAAGCAAAACAGTTTCCACTAGGCAAAATGAGGGGTTTTTGTAAAATGTTTACTTTCTGGGTAAAGAAAAACAGCAGTGTTTCTGGCAACAGAAAAATTAAAATACCATTAGAGATCATCTTGGGTTTCTCTGCTTTCTAAAATGCAAAGAGAAACAGGGAATATAAATGAGGAAAGATTTAATTAGGAGTGTCACTTACGAAACATATGGAAATTCGGTTTCACTTGAAAGATAACCTGTCTCACCAGTGAGAAAAATGCAGATGTGAGAGAGAAATGCAGATGAGAGAAATGCAGATGTGACTGCCCCTCCAGGACAGAAAGACAGGTAGTGCAGTGGCACAGAAAACCAAATGCAGCAGGGGGAAGACTCGTGAAGTCTCATTATAGAGCCATTTGTTTGTCTGATTTTCTCAAAGTAAAGAGCAAAATTAAAGCAGGTGTCCTCCCCCAGCCGACTGTGTCGGTACTGTCAGAAATAGTTAATTGTGGCAATATGGGGGGGAAAATCAAATTCAGCCAAATTGACGGGTGTCTCGTAAGCCTGATGGGATGTACACAGCTACCAAGAAAGGAAGAGAATTTGGGGATGTAAAACTGAATATGGATGCATATGCCCATCACATGTGCCTGAATCAGTGCCTCTGAGAGCACCGAGGGGCTACTGCCCCCGTGTTCATGGCTAAAACAAAAATCTGCATTTTTCCCATGCAAAATAGGTTGACTTTCCAGTGGAAAGCCAGACAGAAAATCAGCCTGTTCCATTTGGAAATGCCAGCTGGGAGCTGGTGTCGGTAGATCCCATCCTCGCTCTCCCCACAGGTGAGGTGCCAAACACAGGCAGCGCTGAAAGCAGAGCTCTCCCCTCCCTCTGCAAGCCAGGAGATGGGAGGTCCCTCCTGCACCAAACCACAGCAGATGCTCTCAGTGGTTTACTCCTCTTGATCAAAAAAAAAAAAAAAAAATCTAAATTTCCTTCATAAAGCAGACCCTTCTTACAGAAAATCATCTAAAATGGAAAAGCCCAATTTTCAGCTGAAAAATTGTTTTGATGGTTATTTTCAAGAGGCAGTAGATAGAAGTATTGTTTGAACATGATGAAAGCAAGATGCCCTTTTTGCCTTTGTGACTCCTTTAGAGACCTGTTTACAGTACTTCTTACAGAGAAGCTATGCAGAACAGGAGAAAAAGAAGAGTTATTTGTAAATATTCAATATTCTCAGACAAGGGCACTGTAAACAAAATGTGAATCTTCTCATTTCCCATTCTTTTCTGCTTTTGTGACCTTCTGTAGATCCTGAACGAATTCTTTCAGATAGATGCCATGTGTTTTAATTTCAAGTTACTTGCATCCCAGATAGGCTCAGTCACCTGTCCTTATTCTTAAAATAACATATACCAGAAATGCAAAAATCATGAATCTGAGGTTCATCGTGCTTTACCCTAAAAGGTTGATCCCTCTGTTCAGCATTGTAATTATTCCTGCTCTATTGACCCATCCATGTGACCAATGAATGGGTTTTGTGAGGTCCAGGCCTCCACCGTACTGTCTTCTCAGGCTGCTTTGCTACCATCTGTCTGCGTTAAAGTACTTTTAATGAGGAACTAATAAACTACTCATTCCCAAAGTACGTTTGCTTGGTAGGTTCTGCAAAGGACATGGTGAACAAAATGAGGAAGAACAAATATGTCAGAGTAACATCCCAGATCCTCTCCCTGTCTTGCCAGCATGTATAATGCAGCCTTTCTGTTAGGTCTACCTGCAGTTTACAAAGAAACACTTTGCCTCTTAGCCAACAGCACCAACAGAAAAGGTGCTGCTGTCACTTGCAGAGGTGTGAAAAGTTCTCTAGGCAGGTCAGCTGCTTGGAGGAAAATCTGAAATGAAAATATTTGTAATCTGGAGGTTGTTGAAGGACCTGTTCTCCTGCTAGCTGTAGTGCTGAGCCATTCATGTTTCAGTATTTTCTAGCTCGGCTTGTTCCTGAGCCCCATCCTCACCTGCTGGGCCCAACATTCCTCCTTCACCTCTGTCCCATCACGCTCGCAAGCCCACAGCTCCAGAAACATCCCAGCCCAGCCTCCAAGCCCCTGTGAAACTCAAGTGTGCTTTTCTGTCCGGCCTGAATCACTTGAGAGAGTTGATCCTTTTCCATGTCCAACCTAGCGCAGACAAGGGTCTCCACAAGGGTGACAAGCACACTTGGTTGCCCTCCCTATGGGCCATCTGGCCAAAATGTGGTCTTGGTGGGAAATGTCGTCTTGGTAGGGAAACGTCATCTTGGTAGGAAAGTGTCACAAACCTGTCTGAGGATCGACACCGGTGGTGCAATCAAAGCGAATGAGAGAACGACGTACAAGAGAGGGCAGGGAGGATGACCTCTACACGAGCACCTTTGATGCAACAGCTGTGGTAACCACGGAAATGATGAGGGTTTTGGCTGGTTTTCAGCCACATTAGGAAGTCCTGATTCCTGAAGCCAAAGAGCTGAGTCTTGTTTTCCAAAGTTATTTTTATGGCAACTCCTTTACCACAAACCCCTACCTGTTTAGGTGAGGTCTTTTAGTCGTTCCCAGCGCAGCCCAATGCAGCTGGGACCTGGGATG